AGGACGGAGGAGCGCCACGTCAGAGGAGTGAGGGAGGAGGGAGGAGGGAGGACGAAGGAGCGCCAAGTCAGAGAGAGGAGGGAGAAACGCCACGTCAGAGGGGGGAGAGAGGACGGAGGAGCGCCACGTCAGAGGAGTGAGGGAGGAGGGAGGAGGGAGGACGAAGGAGCGCCAAGTCAGAGAGAGGAGGGAGAAACGCCACGTCAGAGGGGGGAGAGAGGACGGAGGAGCGCCACGTCAGAGGAGTGAGGGAGGAGGGAGGAGGGAGGACGAAGGAGCGCCAAGTCAGAGAGAGGAGGGAGAAACGCCACGTCAGAGGGGGGAGAGAGGACGGAGGAGCGCCACGTCAGAGGAGTGAGGGAGGAGGGAGGAGGGAGGACGAAGGAGCGCCAAGTCAGAGAGAGGAGGGAGAAACGCCACGTCAGAGGGGGGAGAGAGGACGGAGGAGCGCCACGTCAGAGGAGTGAGGGAGGAGGGAGGAGGGAGGACGAAGGAGCGCCAAGTCAGAGAGAGGAGGGAGAAACGCCACGTCAGAGGGGGGAGAGAGGACGGAGGAGCGCCACGTCAGAGGAGTGAGGGAGGAGGGAGGAGGGAGGACGAAGGAGCGCCAAGTCAGAGAGAGGAGGGAGAAACGCCACGTCAGAGGGGGGAGAGAGGACGGAGGAGCGCCACGTCAGAGGAGTGAGGGAGGAGGGAGGAGGGAGGACGAAGGAGCGCCAAGTCAGAGAGAGGAGGGAGAAACGCCACGTCAGAGGGGGGAGAGAGGACGGAGGAGCGCCACGTCAGAGGAGTGAGGGAGGAGGGAGGAGGGAGGACGAAGGAGCGCCAAGTCAGAGAGAGGAGGGAGAAACGCCACGTCAGAGGGGGGAGAGAGGACGGAGGAGCGCCACGTCAGAGGAGTGAGGGAGGAGGGAGGAGGGAGGACGAAGGAGCGCCAAGTCAGAGAGAGGAGGGAGAAACGCCACGTCAGAGGGGGGAGAGAGGACGGAGGAGCGCCACGTCAGAGGAGTGAGGGAGGAGGGAGGAGGGAGGACGAAGGAGCGCCAAGTCAGAGAGAGGAGGGAGAAACGCCACGTCAGAGGGGGGAGAGAGGACGGAGGAGCGCCACGTCAGAGGAGTGAGGGAGGAGGGAGGAGGGAGGACGAAGGAGCGCCAAGTCAGAGAGAGGAGGGAGAAACGCCACGTCAGAGGGGGGAGAGAGGACGGAGGAGCGCCACGTCAGAGGAGTGAGGGAGGAGGGAGGAGGGAGGACGAAGGAGCGCCAAGTCAGAGAGAGGAGGGAGAAACGCCACGTCAGAGGGGGGAGAGAGGACGGAGGAGCGCCACGTCAGAGGAGTGAGGGAGGAGGGAGGAGGGAGGACGAAGGAGCGCCAAGTCAGAGAGAGGAGGGAGAAACGCCACGTCAGAGGGGGGAGAGAGGACGGAGGAGCGCCACGTCAGAGGAGTGAGGGAGGAGGGAGGAGGGAGGACGAAGGAGCGCCAAGTCAGAGAGAGGAGGGAGAAACGCCACGTCAGAGGGGGGAGAGAGGACGGAGGAGCGCCACGTCAGAGGAGTGAGGGAGGAGGGAGGAGGGAGGACGAAGGAGCGCCAAGTCAGAGAGAGGAGGGAGAAACGCCACGTCAGAGGGGGGAGAGAGGACGGAGGAGCGCCACGTCAGAGGAGTGAGGGAGGAGGGAGGAGGGAGGACGAAGGAGCGCCAAGTCAGAGAGAGGAGGGAGAAACGCCACGTCAGAGGGGGGAGAGAGGACGGAGGAGCGCCACGTCAGAGGAGTGAGGGAGGAGGGAGGAGGGAGGACGAAGGAGCGCCAAGTCAGAGAGAGGAGGGAGAAACGCCACGTCAGAGGGGGGAGAGAGGACGGAGGAGCGCCACGTCAGAGGAGTGAGGGAGGAGGGAGGAGGGAGGACGAAGGAGCGCCAAGTCAGAGAGAGGAGGGAGAAACGCCACGTCAGAGGGGGGAGAGAGGACGGAGGAGCGCCACGTCAGAGGAGTGAGGGAGGAGGGAGGAGGGAGAAGGGAGGAAGGAGGGGGCGAGGTGATGGAGGGGGCACGAGGAGGGAGGAGAGCCACATCAGAGGAAGGAGGAGGGAGGCAAAGAAGAAGCTAAGAAAAAGAAGAAAAACAGAAAGAGAAAAAAAAAGAAGAAGAAAGAAGAAGGGGAAGCCCGGCGTTATAATTTGAGTCCTGTATCAGTGCGCGCCGTCAATCCATGGAGATTGACTGCGAAAATCCAAGACAAAGAAAAACCTACAAAACAGGGCGTACCGGACCCCCCCCCAAAATGTGCCAACCATTGAACTGGAAGTTGGTAATTCGGAATAGGGTGGCAGCGCAAAAAAATATTTTTTGGCTTTTTCTGCATCGCTGCGAGAGGTGCCCAAGTGCCTGCTCAGGGCGGTCGCCCAGCCGGGCGCCCCCCGGGAGCCATTCCAGGCACGGTGGGGTACCCCGAGCGGCCGGGCTGGAAAGCTAGCGTATAAGTCAATTTGACTCTATAATGTCCACTCATGGAGCTAAGCCACCACCTCATGCCCCAAGGGAAAAAAAAAAAAAAAAAAGAGTATTTGTCTACATCCACAACTTTTTGGGGTTCAGTTACACCGGGCAAAAATGGCGGGCACCAGCCTAAAAGAAAAGTTATCGTACCCGTGTGTGTGTGGGCGGGTGCGGGTGGGCGGACGGGCTGGCAGGGGACTTCCGGGATTGATAAAAATAGCCACAGTTCGGTCCAATCCACAGGCTGGCAGGGGACTTCTGGGATCGATAAAAATAGCCGCAGTTCGATCCAATCCAATCCACTCGCTCTTTTCCTCTTTTACCTCTTTCTTTTCCTTTTTCTTTTCTTTTTCAGAAAAGGGGCAATGAAGAGGTAGTATCTTTCTTTAAGCTGATCGGTCCATGCAATCGAGAGATTTACTTCACAGCAGGTGTAATTATCACCATCCAATCCACTTGATCCAATCCACTTGATCCAATGGGTGTACCATTTCAGCCACACGAACTCGTCAATCCAATCCCATCCAATCCCTTGCACCCAAAACCGAATCCGAATGCAGCCCACTCGATCAAAGCCGACCCTAAATCCCACCCAAAATCCAATCCAAAATCCAATCAAAATCCAATCCAAAATCCAATCAAAATCCAATCCAAAATCCAATCCAAAATCCAATACCAAATTCAAATTATTCAATACAAAATCCAAGCTACTAAAATTCAATTCAAATTCAATCCAGTCCGGTCCAGTCCAATTGGTGTGGCTTGAATCAATCCAGTCCAGAATCAAATCCAATAAAATCCAATAAAATCCAATCCAATCCAGAATCCAGTTCAGAATCAAATCCAATAAAATCCAATCCAGTCCAGAATCCAGTCAAGAGCACCCAATCCAATAAAATCCTAGTCCAATAACAACCAATCCAAAAGCCAATCCAATAAAATCCAGTCAATACAATGATTGAAATCCAAAGTGTTAATAACAGCTCTCGCTTTCTTAATGATCTGTGCGCCGCTGTGCTAAATGTTTGCAACCACACCACTGCAACAATGTGCTGAATACCTAGGACTTACCATAAATAAAATAAAATAAAATAAAATAAAGGTACCGATAGCTGCTCCGTAGGTAAATGTTCTCAAAGGCTCAGGAAGAAGTCCACTATAATATAATACCAAACAAGATTTTTTTTTTTTTTTTTTTTTTTTTTTTTTTTTTTTATGAACAACCCGGCCGGATGCTATCTAAGATCAATTTCTGACAAAAAAAAAAAAAAAAAACCGTTATGTGGACGTTAAAGGATTACTGATCAGCAATAGAATTGTCATCAAAACACAGTCAGTAAACCCAACCATTCCACATTACGCACTAATGGTGGATAATCATATCTTTTTGAAGTGCTCAAAATCACTCCATAGATAAGTAATAAGATAGTGGCATTTATAAGAACGATTTCTGGAAAGATGGCTAAAAAATCATTGTCAAAATCAAATCAAACAAAATCGAATCCAATCCACAACCTATAAGGCTCCAATCTATTCGTGGGAAGCAGCACGTGCTGGGAACCGGGCCCAGCGTCCCATATGGAAAGTTGACATAGAATTTTGAAAGTTTGAGATACTGGGGCCCCACTGCCCGACTTTGGCTAAGAAAACTTTGAGCTACTTCAAAAATTACTACGATAAACTTCAGAAATAGGCAAAATTCAGAAAATGACTCAGAAATTCCCCATCAATCCTCTTTTACCTCACCCCATCAATCCTCTATCGAAACGTACATAGAAGTATAAAACTTTGAGAAACCGCGGCCATGACAGCAATTTAGGCAACGTTCAAAAACGACTCAGAAACCCCCGATGAATCCTCTTTACCTCACGAATCCAATCCACAACCAATCCAGTCCAAACCAATATCCAATCCTATCAAACTCAACGCAATCTCAGTTCCCGTGGCATCCAGTTGAAAACAAAACAAACAAAAAAAAAAAAAAAAAAAAAAAAAAAAAAAAAAAAAAAAAAGATTTCATCCAGTTGAACCTAAGGTTCTAATATCTTCTTCTTCTTCTTCTTCTTCTTATTATTATTATTATTATTATTATTAAATTATTATTATTATTATTACTATTATTATTATTATTATTTATTACTTATTATTATTATTTTTAATACCTTAAATAATCCACAGATGACAGTGAGTGCACAGTAACAACAGTAAACACAACGAATAACAAATTCAAAACATTGGAAATTGAAATTATAAATAAAAAAATAAAAATTGAATAAAGTTCAATAAACCAATTATTACAATTAATGAATTAGATAATGAATATTAATAACATGAATAATTGGTAAATAACTTGTTCTCAGAAAGACCATAACTGCAAACACAGAGCAAGCATTGAATTATCGGAAACTTAATATTTATGAACGTAACAAATTAATATTAAATTATTAATGGACGAGGAGAAGCCGTGAATAAAATCATGCACAAGACCAAGAGCAAGACATTTTACGAATTTAAACCTGCAAGGAACAAGATGATATAATCACATTCCCATGATTCTCCAGAGTCATGGGAAATCAGTTTCAATCACTAAATAAATCAGTTTCAATCACTAATGAATGAGTTCAATTATGATGCACATCATTAATGTTTGCTGTCTTCTGGGATCGCTGCCAAAAACGTTCTGCTTCAAATGGAGAGGGGCACACACATCATACTCATGCCCATCAACAAATAAACAATGGCTACAATCTTCCGGAAGAAAATGTGGACGCTGCACTTCTCCCAAGAGTCTGAAAACAAATCAGAAAATAGCATTGCATTGCTAAACCTCAAGAGAAAAAGGCAAATACCTGGTCTTACAAGCCAGCGAAACGACGCAGGCACAGAGGGAGGGAGAGAGAGAGAGAGAGAGAGAGAGAGAGAGAGAGAGAGAGAGTCGATGCGAA